ATATACATGTATACTTGGTATAAATTAATAAGTACGCACACTAAGTCTAAAAGTATACATACATGCACTTACGTTACAATAAACAAAACTATATGCAAAATAACAATTACATAATGTACGTAGAAATAAACTGTCTTGAAATATATTCAAGACAATGAGTGTCCTTGAAATGTTTTGAATTTTATATTTCAGTAACCTCTTGGAGGCCAGTGTTTATTTTTTGTGACAGTGTTTCGCTCAAAGTCACCAGAGGCTGTTAGATGCCTTATTAGTTAATTTAGTAACTTAACTGTCATTTTTCTAACTAAAAATAGTTCCCACTCCTTGACTTTTGCAGATTATGATTATTTACAATTTATATTTTAGCTTATGGCTAATTTTAAATATACCTTCTTTAATATTCTTGTACGTGTAGAAAGCATAATCCCGATATAAAGCCTGCCCCCTGTTTCTGTTTTCCAACTGTTCCCTCTTCTCAGCGAGCTTATCAGATACATTTTCTTTACAGTTTACTTATGATAAAATAGCTCTTGCTAATAAATTATTATAAAAATTTTTTCTTGCTGATAATTTTGTTATAAATTTGACCTTGCTGTTATGTCATTAGCCTGTCTAGATATATTTCAGTAGCTTCTTTATTATTTGAATACTTAAATTCCGTCTCCTACAACGCAAAGAATGTTCCAGAGATTGTTTACCAGTAACCTAATTTTCCATTATTATTCTCGTTATATTTTATTTGCTTCCACTTGTTGCACCTAAAATACTGTCTCTCCCATGCATCTCTGCTATAATTGCCTGCCAGGGACCACCACTAAAGTAGCCCTGGTATAAAATAAGAGTCAGTTACTGCTCTAGAAATATATCCTACAGATGACGTCACCAGGAGGGACATTGAAACGTCCTCATTTGGCAGCCAAACATCCCAGAGGCAGCATCTCGCCTCAGCAGTCAAGCTTATTTCAAACCTTATTTACATGGCATCTTTACAGGAATTCATTTGGCACAAAGAAGGTGAGGGATAGTGTATGGTAACGCTCGTGGGTCAAGCAAATTGTTTTTTTGAGAATTAGTTACATTCGTTACTGGCCAAATCCAGTTTTTTTCTCAGATTTCATTCCCATACAAATTAACTTTTGTAGATTACCTAACTGGAATCTCACTTGCCAACGTTAATTCCTTAACCTGGAAATTACAGCTGATATACATTGCTAAGAAGCTTCTTTCATTGAATGTGATAAATGAAAATCTCATCCTCTGAAGATTGGTTATGAGCCCGTAAAAATCTATCCTTTCTCCTAACAAATTTTAATTTCATTTCACCCCTTTCTATCATCGTAAATAAAGTGTTTTATGTCAAAAACTCGTGAATAAAGCTATTTGTTATATAAATTGCAAATAATTAATCATTTAACTAAAGTGTTTTATGCTATAAACTGCAAATAATTAAAAGATAATTTTACCCTGTTGGCTTTGCAAATATTTCCTGTTAACCACAATTTAATGAATGCATACTGTATTTATCTTGCTGATTCTTCATATATTGGGGATAAAGTGTTTTGAGATAAAAGTTGAAAATACTTCAAAAGGTGGTTTTGCCCCTTTTTCATTGCAAACCGTTCTTGACAACCAAAAGTGAATGAATACTGTATTTATCTCGTAGATTCTTCCTTTATTGTAAATAGAGTGTTTTACCTATTAATTGCAAATCAGTAATAAGAATTGCAACTTTTGTGGTTGCCCACAATTTAAGGAATACATACAGTACTGTATTTGTCTTGCTTATTCTTCATTTATTGTGAATAAATTGTTTTCCTTTAATACCAGCAAAGAATTAATGGTTTTGTATGCTATTATGGTAGCATAAATATTTCTGGTTAGCTGTGACTAATATATTTTCATCCAGTAGAATAATATTGGAAACTCATTATATGTGTGTTCATGCTTTCAGTTTCCCATTATTAACAGTGTGTCGTTTCTATTCCTGCAATTGTAGTGTCCTCTATTCTACTCTGCCAGTGTGACAGAGGTAATCATCGAGTTGAGGCCAAAATCTTGGCATACATCTGTGGTGCCGGGAAACGAAATCGTGCTCACTACCTCCGAGATTCGAGGCAGCATTTCATAAAATTGAATTGAAAATTGAATTCAATTCTTTTAATGTCATTGCATTTCCAAAATTAAAAGAAAGTTGAATTCTGAGTTTCATTTAACCGAGTAGTGGTATACGGCTGGGGTGTTCAAGTACAAATATCTGTCCTGTCTGTTTGTGAGCTCTTAACCGAGTTCAGTACTTTGAGTCCCCTTGGTAAAACAGAATCTTAACAACTTTCCATTCCCACATTTTTGTCTTAAATTCTATGGACATGTAGTTCTTGAAAACAACCTTCCTTGTGTTTTTGGCCTTGGTTTGACACAGAACTGAAATGGCTTGTTCCCACATGACTGAATGGTATGAATAACGTGAGCCATTTCTTAAAATTTCACCTAAGAAGGAAATTTTAATATATGGTACTTTAGCATCGTACATACAAACATCTTACAGAGCCTCTAATTATGACCCATCGTTCTAAAGCCATATTGTTATAACAGTGTTATACAAATCTGACCTCGAAAAGAAAAAAAATGTAATTTTTTATTATTTTTAGTCCGTACTTTTATATTCAGACACTTATAAGTACAGTACTTGAAATTACATTACATATTATATCAGAAGCTTTTGGGGCTAAGGAGAGGGTAGTGGCATTATATGAACTGTCACAGTAAGGATTAGATATCTGGAATGATATTTTCATGATCTTTGCCAGTGATAAGAGCAAAATGTCCCTGTCCTTGACCTTTAATGTAGAAAAATACTGGTGATATTTTCTTGTAAAACCCTATCAACTCTGCCAATGAGAGTGTTTATGTTTAAGATAAAAAAAAACCTTCCCCTTGTGATTCCTCGTCTATGCAGTTTTCCGCTTATGTGTTGTGGATTGCTTGGAATACTATACTGTGTCATACCTTATCACCTCAGCTGGCATAGTGAAAAATTACATAATTGTCATTGCAGAAAAGAGCCTTTTGCACTTCACTTTTGATTCTTGGTCAGTTCTCTGAATTACTGTCAGATGTTTACAAACTTGGGTTTTAAAAGTAGGAAAAAACAGCAGACTTCTTGTGTGTGTATATGTCTGAGACCAAAGAGATTTCTCACACCTGCTAACTCAGTGAACTGTGGTGGACGGGTGTGAGGGGAGTTGCCATATGATGAGGCAGTGGAGGTAAACCAGCTGTGGCTGTCAGGCCTCATTATAGAATATCCTAGCCAGCCTACCATGTGGATGAACCAAGCAGGGTGGAAGGGGGGAGATTTGGCAACCCTTTATCCTCAAGGAGCTGAGAGGAGTGGTTGAGGTGTGTGTGTATTGTGGTGAATGCGCATTTCTTGGCTTGGCAACCCCCTTACAAGGGAGAATGAGGCATATATATTTTTTTTACCCCGACCGGGACTTGAGGCTAGGACTTATAATTACTAAGTCAAGGCACTACCAACTACACCACAGAAGGTTAAAAGGAATCATACCTTATAGCATATATCTGCTATACTTAAAAATAAACACATTCTATCTGAATGCCACTATGTTCATATTACAGATTCCCCAACCTCACTCGTGGTTTCGTTTTTGCATTTAATTCAACTCCCAAGCTCACTCGGGACCAATAATAACCAAATAAGCACATTGCATATGTGAAAACATGAATAATATCTTACCCCGACCGGGACTTGAGCCTAGGACTTATAATTACTAAGTCAAGGAGCTACCAACTATACCACAGAAGGTTAAAAGGAATCAGACCTTATAGATTATCTCTGCTATAGTTAGGAATGAATGCATTCTATCTGAATGCTACTATGTTCATATTACAGATTCCCCAACCTCGCTCATGGTTTCGTTTTTGCATTTAATTCAACTCCTAATCTCATTCGAGACCAACAATAACCAAATAAGCACATTGCATATGTGAAAACATGAATAATTTTTTACCCCAACCAGGACTTGAACTTAGGACTTATAATTACTAAGTCAAGGAACTACCAACTACACCACAGAAGGTTAAAAGGAATCAGACCTTATAGCTTATATCTGCTATACTTAGGAATGAATGCATTCTATCTGGATGCCACTATATTCATATTACATATTCCCCAACCTCTCTCGTGGTTTTGTTTTTGAATTTAATTCAATTCCCAATCTCATTCGTAAGCAAATAATAACCAAATAAGCACATTACATATGTGAAAACATGAATAATTCTTTACCCCAACAGGAACTTGAACCTAGGACTTATATTTGGTTATTGTTAGTCTTGAATGAAATTGGAAGTTGAATTAAATGTGAAATTAAACCACGAGTGAGGTTGAGGAATCTATAATATGAACATAGTGGCATTCAGATAGAATGCATTCATTCACAAGTATAGCAGACATAAGCTATAAGGTTTGATTTCTTTTAACCTTCTGTGGTGTAGTTGGTAGCGCCTTGACTTAGTAATTATAATTCCTAGGTTCAAGTCCCGGTCAGGGTAAAAAATTATTCATGTTTTCACATTGTAATGTGTTTATTTGGTTATTGTTGGTCCAGAATGAGATTGGGAGTTGAATTAAATGCGAAAATGAAACCACAAGTGAGGTTGAGGAATCTGTAATACGAACATAGTGGCATTCAGATAGAATGCCTTCATTCCTAAGTATAGCAGATATAAGCTATAAGGTCTGATTCCTTTTAGCCTTCTGTGGTGTAGTCGGTAGTGCCTTGACTTATTCATGTTTTCACATATGTAATGTTCTTATTTGGTTATTGCTGGTCCTGAAAGAGATGGGGAATAGAATTAAATGCAAAAACGAAACCATGAGTGAGGTTGGGAAATCTGTAATATGAACATAGTGGCATTCAGATAGAATGCGTTCATTCCTAAGTATAGCAGATATAAGCTATAAGGTCTGATTCCTTTTAACCTTCTATGGTGTAGTTGGTAGCACGTTTACTTAGTAATTAAAATTCCTAGGTTCAAGTCTCTGTCAGGGTGAAAAATGATTCATGTTTTCACTTATGTAATGTGCTTATTTGGTTATTGTTGGTCCCGAATGAGATTGGGAGTTGAATTAAATGCGAAAATGAAACCATGAGTGAGGTTGAGGAATCTGTTATATGAACATAGTGACATTCAGATAAAATGCATTCATTCCTAAGAGTAGCAGATATAAGCTATAAGGTCTGATTCCTTTTAACCTTCTGTGGTTTAGTTGGTAGTGCCTTGACTTAGTAACTATAAGTCCTAGGTTCAAGTCCCGGTCGGGGTAAAAAATAATTCATGTTTTCACATATTTAATGTGCTAATTTGGTTATTGTTGGTACGAATGAGATTGTGATTTGAATTAAATGCGAAAACGAAACCAAGAGTGAGGTTGGGGAATCTGTAATGTGAACATAGTGGCACTCAGATAGAATGCATTCATTTCTAAGTATAGCAGATATAAGCCATAAGGTCTGATTCCTTTTAACCTTCTGTGGTGTAGTCGGTAGCGCCTTGACTTAGTAATTATAAGTCCTAGGTTCAAGTCCTGGTTGGGGTAAAAAATTATTTATGTTTTCACATATATAATGTGATTATTTGGTTATTGTTGGTTCCGAACGAGATTGGGAGTTGATTTAATGCGAAAACGAAGCCACGAGTGAGGTTGGGGAATCTGTAATATGAACATAGTGGAATTCAGATAGAATGCATTCATTCCTAAGTATAGCAGATATAAGCTATAAGGTCTGATTTCTTTTAACCTTCTGTGGTGTAGTTGGTAGCGCTTTGACTTAGTAATTATAATTCCTAGGTTCAAGTCCCGGTTGGGGTAAAAGATGATTAATGTTTTCACGTATGTAATGTGCTTATTTGGTTATTGTTGGTCACGAATGAGATTGGGAGTTGAATTAAATGCGAAAACAAAACCACGAGTGAGGTTGAGGAATCTGTAATACGAACATAGTGGAATTCAGATAGAATGCATTCATTCCTAAGTATAGCAGATATAAGCTACAAGGTCTGATTCCTTTTAGCATTCTGTGGTGTAGTTGGTAATGTCTTGACTTAGCAATTATAAGTCCTAGGTTCAGTCCCGGTCAGGGTGAAAAATTATTCATGTTTTCACATATGTAATGTTCTTATTTGGTTATTGTTGGTACTGAAAGAGATGGGGGGTAGAATCAAATGTAAAAACGAAACCATGAGTGAAGTTGGGAAATCTGTAATATGAACATAGTGACATTCACATAGAATGCGTTCATTCCTAAGTAGAACAGATATAAGCTATAAGGTCTGATTCCTTTTAACCTTCTATGGTGTAGTTGGTAGCACGTTGACTTAGTAATTATAAGTCCTAGGTTCAAGTCCCGGTCAGGGCAAAAAATTATTCATGTTTTCACATATGTAATGTGCTTATTTGGTTATTGTTGGTCCCGAATGAGATTGGGAGTTGAATTAAATGTGAAAATGAAACCACGAGTGAGGTTGAGGAATCTGTTATATGAACATAGTGGCTTTCAGATAAAATGCGTTCATTCCTAAGTATTGCAGATATAAGCCATAAGGTCTGATTCCTTTTAACCTTCTGTGGTTTAGTTGGTAGTGACTTGACTTAGTAATTATAAGTCCTAGGTTCAAGTCCTGGTTGGGGTAAAAAATAATTTATTTTTTCATATATTTAATGTGCTTATTTGGTTATTGTTCGTCACGAATGAGATTCGGAGTTGAATTAAATGCAAAAACGAAACCACGAGTGAGGTTGGGAATCTGCAATATGAACATAGTGGCATTCAGATAGAATGCGTTCATTCCTAAGTATAGCAGATATAAGCAATAAGGCCTTTTAACCTTTTGTGGTGTAGTCGGTAGCGCCTTGATTTAGTAATTATAAGTCCTAGGTTCAAGTCCCGGTTGGGGTAAAAAATGATTTATGTTTTCACATATATATTGTGATTATTTGGTTATTGTTGGTTCCGAATGAGATTGGGAGTTGAATTAAATGCGAAACCAAGCCATGAGCGAGGTTGGGGAATCTGTAATATGAACATACTGGCATTCAGATAGAATGCGTTTATTCCTAAGTATAGCAGATATAAGCTATAAGGTCTGATTCCTTTTAACATTCTGTGGTGTACTTGGTATCTCCTTGACTTAGTAATTATAAGTTCTAGGTTCAAGTCCCTGTCGGGGTAAAAAATTATTCATGTTTTCACATATGTAATGTGCTTATTTGGTTGTTGTTGGTCTTGAATGAGATGGGGAGTTGAATTAAATGCGAAAACAAAACCATGAGTGAGGTTCGGAAATCTGTAATATGAACATAGTGGCATTCAGATAGAATGCGTTTATTCCTAAGTATAGCAGATATAAGCTATAAGGTCTGATTCCTTTTAACTTTCTATTGTGTAGTTGGTAGCACCTTGATTTAGTAATTATAAGTCCTATGTTCAAGTCCTGGTCAGGGTGAAAAATGATTCATGTTTTCACATATGTAATGTGCTTATTTGGTTATTGTTGGTCCCGAATGAGATTGGGAGTTGAATTAAATGCGAAAACGAAACCACGAGTGAGGTTGAGGAATCTGTAATATGAACATAGTGGCATTCAGATAGAATGCATTTATTCCTAAGTATAGCAGATATAAGCCATAAGGTCTGATTCTTTTTAACCTTCTGTGGTGTAGCCGGTAGCGCCTTGACTTAGTAATTATAAGTCCTAGGTTCAGGTCCCAGCTATGATAAAAAATGATTCATGTTTTCACATATTTAATGTGATTAATTGGTCATTGTTGGTTCCGAATGAGATTGGGAGTTGAATTAAATGCGAAAACGAAGCCACGAGTGAGGTTGGGGAATATGTAATATGAACATAATGGCATTCAGATAGAATGCGTTTAAGTATAGCAGATATAAGCTATAAGGTCTGATTCCTTTTAACCTTCTGTGGTGTACTTGGTAGCTCCTTGACTTAGTAATTATAAGTTCTAGGTTCAAGTCGCAGTCGGGGTAAAAAATGATTCATGTTTTCACATATGTAATGTGCTTATTTGGTTATTGTTGGTCCTGAATGAGATGGGGAGTTGAATAAATGCGAAAACGAAACCATGAGTGAGGTTGGGAAATCTGTAATATGAACATAGTGGCATTCAGATAGAATGCATTCATTCCCAAGTATAGCAGATATAAGCTATAAGATCTGATTCCTTTTAACTTTCTATTGTGTAGTTGGTAGCACCTTGACTTAGTAATTGTAAGTCCTATGTTCAAGTCCTGGTTAGGGTAAAAAATGCTTCATGTTTTCACATATGTAATGTGCTTATTTGGTTATTGTTGGTCCCGAATGAGATTGGGAGTTGAATTAAATGCGAAAACGAAACCAAAAGTGAGGCTGGGGAATCTGTAATATGAACATAATGAAATTCAGATATGAATGCATTCATTTCTAAGTATAGCAGATTTAAACTATTAGGTCTGCTTCCTTTTAACCCTCTGTGGTATACTTGGTAGTGTTTTGACTAAGTAATTATAAGTCCTAGGTTCAATCCCTGGTCGGGGTGAAAAGTGATTCATGTTTCCACATATGTAAAGTGCTTATTTGCTAATTGTTAGTTTCAAATGAGATTGGGAGTTGAATTAAATGCAAAACAAAAAAAACGAGTGAGGTTGAGGAATCTGTAATATGAACATAGTGGCATTCACATAGAATGCGTTCATTCCTAAGTATAGCAGATATAAGCTATAAGGTCTGATTCCTTTTAACCTTTTATGGTGTTGTTGGTAGCACCTTGACATAGTAATTATATGTCCTAGGTTCAAGTCCCGGTCGGGGTAAAAAATTAGTCATGTTTACACATATGTAATGTGCTTATTATGGTTATTGTTGGTCCTGAATGAGATTGGGAGTTAAATTAAATGCGCAAGAAAATTATGAATGAGGTTGGGAATCTGAAATATGAACATAGTGGCATTCAGATAAAATGCTTCCATTCCTAAGTATAGCAGATAAAAGCTATAAGGTTTGATTCCTTTTAACCTTCTGTGGTGTAGTTGGTAGCACCTTGACTTAATAATTATAAGTCCTAGGTTGAAGTCATTTTTGGGGTAAAAAATTATTCATGTTTTCACATATATAATGTGTTTATTTGGTCATTGTTGGTCTTGAATGAACTTGGGAGCTGAATTGAATGCGAAAACAAAACCACGAGTAAGGTTGAGGAATCTGTAATATGAACATAGTGGCATTCAGATAGAATGCGTTCATTCCTAAGTATAGTAGATATAAGCTATAAGGTCTGATTCTGTTTGATGCTCCTTAAATTTGGAGATATTTATAGATAAATGAGGCACAATAAAATAGGAGACTGAAAGGGCATTATGAACGTTCTTGTCTGCTACCTAGTGGGCATCTTTATTACTTTCAATGTAAACAAAACATGGATTCGTTCATTAACAAAATAACAATTATATCAAATATTGTAACATCCCTCTTTTTATGAAGAAAAAAAATAAGTTATCATCTTAAAAACGAAAAATAAATCACTCTTTGTAAACAACAAAATCATTATATTTAGAGGGTAAAATATTCCTTGTACTCCTTGTGATTCTCTTTTGAGGAGTGAAAGACTCTTGAACTCTGAGATTCTCACTTGTTGGGTTCACATGTTTATCCTGTGGAATTTCAACCTGTTGCTGACTTTGTACTACATTACTAGAATCTTCACTACTGTGATACGAAACATTTCTTTCATTTGACTTATTAAGGTCTACTCTATTTCTTCTCAATAAACCAGCATCAGTTGAAATTTCATAAGATCTCTCGTCTAAACGTTCCTTCACAATACCTTTTTCCCAAGCTTTCTTTCCCATTACAGTGGGTTTTATTCTCACAACATCATCTTCCTGTAAAGGATCAAGATCTTTGGCATGCACATTGTAATATTTAGCGGACCTGCTATTTCTATAATGTCTGTTAATCTTAATTTTATCTACATTGATCTCAGATGGTTTCAACAA